ATTCGGCATCGTGAGTTCCTCCGGCAACGGAATAAGTTCCGAAATTCCGGTGGAAACCTCTTCGGTTGCCATGGTTGTGCCGTCCTCACCACTACCCTTCGGGGCAAGTGTGGGGGCCGCGACCATGACGTCGTTTGCAATGCCGAGCTCGATCTTCGGGTCGGCCCCTCGACCCATTCCCGGGCTCGAAACCACGGGGATCACCCCGTCGGTAACTCGAACCCGTTTCTTGGACCGACTATGGCTTCGGCCTCGACGGTCAACCTTGGACCGAACACGGGTTTTCCCACACCGGTCAACGTAGGACCGAACGCGGGTTTTCCCACACCGGTCAATCCATTCATTGGACCCCATTGGGCGACTAACGGGCCTTTCCTCCACACGCCCAATGCGGTTGGGCCGATTACGGTGCCCGCTAGTTCGGTCCAAAGGACACCGAAGTTCAATGGCACGAACTTCAAAATGTGGCAACAAAAGATGATGTTTTTCATGACCGTCTTGGGATTTGCTGAGTACCTGCAGCAAGATCCCCCCCAGCCCAATGAAGCCAACGACCCCCTCGTGGCGATGGTGAACCAAGCATGGTACCACAACAACTATCTCGCCATCAACATCATCCTGGAGGGGTTGGGAGATTTGTTGTACCCTGTCTACGCCGGTGCAACACTTGCCAAGGAGCTTTGGAACAGCTTGAACAAAACATATCAAGCTGAAGATGCCGGCACGAAGAAGTTCATCGTCGGGAAGATGTTGGACTACAAGATGGTCGACAGCAAATCTGTTGTCGCCCAGGCCGAGGAGCTAACGGTAATCTTCAACAAATGTAATGAAGAAAAAGTAGGCGTTAGCGAGGCCTTCCAAGTGGCGGCCATCATCCACAAACTTCCCAGGTCGTGGGAAGACTTCCAAGCCGACCTCAAGCTCAAGAGAACGGAGCTGAATCTAGAGCAACTGCTCACGCGGTTGAGGATCCGAGAGGAAGGGCTTGCTAGAAGAAATGGAGGGGCTAAGGCGAATGTAGTAGAACATCCGTCGGGCTCTTCACATGGCGGGAAGGACAAAAAGAAGATGGGTCCTAAAGGTGGAGTTTCTAAATTTGCAGGAAAGTGCTACAATTGTGGCATTACTGGGCATCGTTCCTCCGATTGTAGGAAAAAGAAGCCACAAAAGGGAAAGA